TAAATTATATAAGTCATCACGCAACATGTGAAATATATGACGAATAATAATATGTACTTTGTTACGGACTTCTTCAGTGAGAGAATTAGAGGTGGGATGTGAGATGGAAGAGCGAGATTGATGGATTGATGAAGATTAAGCCACCCAAGAGGTGGCACGGGCATGAATACCCCGTAAGAAGAGAGAAGATGTGATCTGGCATAAGTATTTGTCAGCAGCGTCAGCTGAGGGCAGTCTGGTTGATCCTAGAAATGTTCACATGTTGTGACTGTCCCCCTTTAAAGCCTCGAGTCCGCGTGAAGACGGCGTGAATTCACAAGACGGGATCCAACTGTCAGACTTGGTATGCGTCGGCGCCTTCTCCACCACCTCTCTCCACCACCAGCGCCACACACCAACACCACACTCTGCCCCCACCACTATACTCCAGCACCATCACCACACTCTGCCCCCATCACTATACTCTAGCACCAACACCACACACTCTGCCCCCACCACTATACTCCAGCACCAACACCACACTCTGCCCCATCACTATATTCCAGCACCAACACCACACTCCACCACCAATATCATACTTCCTCCACCACCAGCACTCTCCACCACCACCACACTCTTCCTCCACCACCAGCACTCTCCACCACCACCACACTCTTCTTCCACCACCAGCACCTCTCCACCACCACACACACTCTTCCTCCACCACCAGCACTCTCCACCACCACCACACTCTTCCTCCACCACCAGCACTCTCCACCACCACCACACTCTTCCTCCACCACCAGCACTCTCCACCACCACCACACTCCACCACCAGCGCCACACACCACCACCACACTCACCACCACACCCATTCTTCACCACCACCACCACCACCACCACCACCACTCTCCACCACCACCACACACCACCACCACCACCAGCACCACACCCATTCTTCACCACCACTCCTCTTTCTACACGTACATCTCGTTACCCCATTTTTCTTCCTTGAGGCTCTTGTCCTCCGCATCATCATCTGCCTCACACTCATTGTACCCTTGCATTGTTCTCCTGTCGGTAGAAGTACTCAGACGGGTTCATTAACACCCCCCCCCCCCCTGTTCATCACTGACGACGGGAGAACACGCTGTTCTCTCATCAGAGCATTAAAACTTCTCTAAAAATTATCGATCATTTTGAAAGTTATAAGCGACGCGATAGGTTTCTCAAGGAATTTTCCTCACCAATCACAATAAAAGGTATCAGAAATGAATTGACTTGATCTCCTGTAAACCTGTGTAAAAGACCTTCCATCCTTCACTTTTAGGAAAGGAAGACGGTGTTCGGACGTCCCTTAAGGATCTCTCATCATCGCTCAAACCGTGAGGGATGTCGGATCAGGTCTTCCAAGGTGGTGAAGCGTAGAAGGTGCCTTAAGATCCCTCCCTGATACTTCAGACGAAGGGGACGGGGCAGAGATTATTTCGAAGGCCCTGGGCGCCCACCGCTCAAGCGAGGAAAACGTATAAAAGGACCTCGACAATGTCCAATAGGAACCTCTTCCCGCCTTCTTACGACGGGGATAAAAGGCCCAGGAGACTCGTCAGAAGACACTTCCTCTCCTCCTTCAGGTCGTCAGTGAATCGACGTCATTTTGTGGAGGTGTACATTCTTGTCGACGTCGTTTTGTGGAGGTGTACATTCTTGTCGACGTCGTTTTGTGGAGGTGTACATTCTTGTCGACGTCGTTTTTGTGGAGGTGTACATTCTTGTCGACGTCGTTTTGTGGAGGTGTACATTCTTGTCGACGTCGTTTTGTGGAGGTGTACATTCTTGTCGACGTCGTTTTGTGGAGGTGTACATTCTTGTCGACGTCGTTTTGTGGAGGTGTACATTCTTGTCGACGTCGTTTTGTGGAGGTGTACATTCTTGTCGACGTCGTTTTGTGGAGGTGTACATTCTTGTCGACGTCGTTTTGTGGAGGTGTACATTCTTGTCGACGTCGTTTTGTGGAGGTGTACATTCTTGTCGACGTCGTTTTGTGGAGGTGTACATTCTTGTCGACGTCGTTTTGTGGAGGTGTACATTCTTGTCGACGTCGTTTTGTGGAGGTGTACATTCTTGTCGACGTCGTTTTGTGGAGGTGTACATTCTTGTCGACGTCGTTTTGTGGAGGTGTACATTCTTGTCGACGTCGTTTTGTGGAGGTGTACATTCTTGTCGACGTCGTTTTGTGGAGGTGTACATTCTTGTCGACGTCTGGGGTGGAGGGGTGCTTATTGACGTATGGGGCGACCCTGTGGACGTCTCTGGGCCCCCCCTGCGGACGACTTGCGTCCCTTTGGACGTGTAAGGATGCCGGCCACAACCAGCGAGGCACTCTGCTCCTGACCTACAGCGTTATCGGCACCTGCTGGCTCAGATATACATCTGCTGGAATGTTTTCCTTGCCCGTGACGGACTCGTGGAATGTGTGGCCATCGATTTTAGATCAAATGTACACTTGAATTCAATATGGCGCCTCTAATTAACACAGACACCACCTCTCTGCTTGTATTTAATTGACGAATATCTATACATTTCTACTGAACTCTGTTCCTTGTTAAAAAAAAAAGAGCATGAGAGAGGGTTTGAGAGTATGAAAGAAGAGAAGAGAGAGAGAGAGAGAGAGAGAGAGAGAGAGAGAGAGAGAGAGAGAGAGAGAGAGAGAGAGAGAGAGAGAGATCACAGATCGTAGACTCGTGTGATTACAGTGAATAATAATAAATAATGCCTGATAACAAAAACAGGAGAGACCGACAGCGAGGGAGTGACAGGGCGTAAGAGAATAAGAGAAGGCAGCGTGTGTATACCGTCCACGTATTTGCAACACAATACATATACCTCTGCACATATTGCAACACAATACATATACCTCTATATATGTTGCAACACAATACATATACCTCTGTATATGTTGCAACACAATACATATACATCTGTATATGTTGCAACACAATACATATACCTGTGTATATGTTGCAACACAATACATATACCTCTATATATGTTGCAACACAATACATATACCTGTGTATATGTTGCAACACAATACATATACCTCTATATATGTTGCAACACAATACATATACATCTGTATATGTTGCAACACAATACATATACCTGTGTATATGTTGCAACACAATACATATACCTCTATATATGTGCAACACAATACATAACATCTGTATATGTTGCAACACAATACATATACCTGTGTATATGTTGCAACACAATACATATACATCTGTATATGTTGCAACACAATACATATACCTGTGTATATGTTGCAACACAATACATATACATGCAAGGAGACGTCCCTGTACTGAGAGAGGAGACGGTAAACCAAGCAACCAAAAACAAATTTGTATTTATCAGAGATGAGATCCAAACGCATTTGTTGGAGCTGGATGTGACGAAGGCTGTTGGGCCCTGACACAACCTCGATACTAAAGGATAGATGGATACTATGTATACTAAAAGGATACTAAAAGAGGATACTGTGGATACTAAAAGACGGTGCAGACGCACTTAGTGTACTGTTCTCTATAATTATATTTGTGTCGGGGGACAGGAAGCCAGAGTGTATTCATACACATATAAATTTATATCGAGGTCTCCCCCCCCCCCCCAGTGGTTGGGGCACCATTCCTTCCCCCGTCCCATCCCAAATCCTTATCCTGACCCCTTCCCAGTGCTATATAGTCGTAATGGCTTGGCGCTTTCCCTTGATAATTCCTTCCTTCCTTCCTTCCTTCCTTCCTTCCCTCCCCCCCCCCCAAGGTCAAATTACTGACCCCCGCCCAGCATACAACCCCATAACAAGCTGACTAACTCCTGAGTAACTACTTACTGTTACGCGAACTGGTGCATTAGGTGAAAGGAAATTGTGCACAACCATTTCCGTTTCGCCCGGGATTCTCGATTGTGCGTCGAGAACGAATCCGACTGTACTACCGGGACCCTCATGTGGTGTATAACAGGTCACTAGAGACAGGAAACCTGCCGGAAAGTTTGAAGACAGCTATTGTAGTCACATTATACTGAAAGGGTGACGGGCAAGGGAACGGAAGGGAACTATCAAGATAAAGCACCAAGCCATTACGACTATATACCACTTGGAAGGGGTCAGGATAAGGATTTGGGATAGGGCGGGGGGGGTGGGAGGAATGGTGCCCAACCACTTGGACGGTCGGGGATTGAACGCCGACCTGCATGAAGGGTGACAGGCAAGAGGCACTGAGCTTCAGGCCGGTTCCCTAACTTGTTTACCATGCAAGGTTATGGAGAAGACCGTGAAGAAAAAGCTGGTTTAACATCTGGAGAGAATTAGCATTGTATCATCACCAGCATTGGTTCAGGAATGGTAAATCGTGTCCTACAGGTATATTCGTATTCTGTGACCAAACGATAAAAATTAGGTCAGAAACCTAAGGGTGTGCAGACTGCATTTTCTTAGACTTTCAGAAAGCCTTTGATATAGCACTTCATAAGAGGCTGGTACACAAGTTGGAGAAACAGGCAGGAGTAACAGGTAAGGTGCTCCAGTGGATAAGGGAGTATCTAAGTAACAGAAAACAGCAAGTTACTCTGTGGAGGAGACCTGGACCAGTGGAGTCCCACAGGGCTCTGTACTTGGACCTATCTGTTTCTGATATATGTGAACGATCTTCCAGAGGGTATAGATTCATTTTTCTTAATGTATGCTGATGTTAAAATTATGAGAAGGATAGATGAAGATAGATACTACAAGACGACCTGGAGGAATGGTCAAGAAATTGGCTACTAAAGTTTAACTAAAGTGTAAAGTAATGACATTAGGTGAAGGGAGCAGGAGGCTGAACACAAGGTACCACCTGGGAGGTGAAATCCTGCAAGAGTCAAATAGAGAGAGAGATATCTAGGGGTTAATATCACACCAAACCTGTTTCCGCAATTCCACATCAAAAGAATATCATCACCGGTGTATACTAGGTTGGTCAACGTGAGAACTGCCTTTAGAAAGTTGTGTGAGAAATTATTCAGAATCTTGTATACCACATACGTCAGACCAATCATTCATTCAAATGTAGATATGATAGACCCCCAATAGGCTCAGCAACCTGTACACCAGTTGATTGACAGTTGAAAGGTGGGACCAAAGAGCCGCAGCTCAACCTTCGCAAGCATAACTAGGTGAGTACATGCAAAGAGTAAATATAACAAATAAATTCCTAATATATTTGAGTATCTTCGGAGTATGTGGATATTATCATAATGTTCACACTGGTGTGTTCATGTGAACAGCGGCTACTCTACGATAACATTCCGGTTATTCTGTACTTTACGGTTGCTTTGAGTTGGTTCCGGGGTTCACCGTTCCAACGGCCCGATCTCTGACCAGGCCGCCTGATTGTTGAGCTGGTCAACCAGACAGTTAGACGTGGCTGCCTGCCTGACGTATGAATAACAGTCTGGTTGATCAGGAATCTTTTGGAGGAGTTTATCAAGTTCTCTTTTGAACAGTGTTAGGTCGGGTAGTTATTCCCCTTATGTGTAGCGGAAGCGTGTTGAACAGTCTCGGGCCTCTGATGTTGATAGAGTTCTCTCTCAGAGTACCTGTTGCACCTCTGCTTTTCAACGGGTGAAATGTTCGCTCAGGAATATTTCATACACATGTTCACTCATGTTATATACATGTTCAACAGGAGCGAGAATGTGTGTGGGTGAGAATTTTGAACCTTAATTAGAATGATTATTTTTATTTTTAGAATAATTATTGGTGTAACAGTAGCACTTGTAACACACTAATTTACATGATTTAACAAATAAATAGGATTATAATTTTTCTTCTTCTTCTTCTTCTTCTTCTTCTTCTTATTATTATTATTATTATTATTATTATTAATATATTCAATAAAGCCTTGAGCTAGGAATTGGAACCGGTTTGGCTTTTCAGCGTCATATTGCCTTTCATGAACATCAAATAATTGTATTTGTTTTTGCATAGGTCTAGTGAATTTGCAATTTTCCATTATAGTATTGTGAGGTGTTGTGTCAATGTGCATATGAAAGCCAAACTAGTTTATCTTCTTAACAGAGATTTGCATACAGAGCAAATTGATGGGTTTACCTGTCAGGAGGAAATTGGTAGTGTGTGTGTGTGTTGTTTGTTTGTGATGTGTTCTCCTTGTCTGTGTGTTCTGTTGTTCTCTGTGTTATTATATTGTTCTTGAGTTAACTGTATCCAACATTATCCTAAGCTGAAGGCAACGGCTGTAACTTGTAGCGATGGTGGTGATTACAGCGGGAATGGTGATGAGGGGGTAGTGGTAGTTGTGGTTGTTGTTGTAGTTGTAATGAGTGGTGGTAGTGGTGGTACTGGTTGTACTGGTGTTAAGATATTTTTCAGTATTCGTAATTTCTTAAAGTTATCTACATAATTTGTTTCCGCCTTCTTCGTCCATATCTAAAATGCTGTTCTTGTCTCTTAATGACACTTAACCGCCTGGTTACTTTGCGATGATTTCGGGGCTCAACGTCCGCCGCGGCCCGGTCCTCGACCAGGCCTTCTCCAGGTCCTTGGTTTAATTCATTGTAATGCTGATTGTATGATGAGTTAGCCTGATCTATCCTCAAAGCTTGAGTCATTATAGTCGCCTAGCGTCAAATTGCTTCTCTCTCTCTCTCTCTCTCTCTCTCTCTCTCTCTCTCTCTCTCTCTCTCTCTCTCTCTCTCTCTCTCTCTCTCTCTCTCTCTCTCTCTTCCACTCTTGTATTTACACGGCTCCTGCTCACAGCGACTTAATTGTAACTTGTGTTCTCACTCTTTAAGCGTGACTCGAAATTATCTCAGCGGAGAAACTTCTGAGTTACTCTGGAATGGGCCAACACGCTTTTTTTTTTTACCGCTCTCTCTCTCTCTCTCTCTCTCTCTCTCTCTCTCTCTCTCTCTCTCTCTCTCTCTCTCTCTCTCTCTCTCTCTCTCTCTCTCTCTCTCTCTCTCTCTCTCTCTCTCTCTCTCTCTCCATCTCCCTCTCCTCTCTCTCCATCTCCCTCTCCCTCTCTCTCTCCCCTCCTCTCATATTTGCTAATTAACTACATATTAAATTAAAATTGAAAGGACTGAAAAATCACAAAAAGATTCATACCAAAAGATTTTTTTCCAGGTCAGGAACCGGAGTGAGTCAGCCCC